GTTCCTAAATGCTTCCTCCCCGCCCCCACTATCATGACTTGAATTCTGCCTAGCAAGTCTGGCTAGACCAGAGGATGTGCACAGGTAGAGATAGGAACTGGAAACACAGGGAATGCAGGGTGGATGATCCCTACAGGACCAGTGCTGTGAGTGATGATACTGGGAGAGTTGAGGGAGAGTGGTTTGGAAAGAGGGAACCGATTACAAGGAACTATATGTGACCTCCTCCCTGGGGGACGGACATCCGAAAAGTGGGTGAAGGGAGACGTTAGACAGGGCAAAATATGACAAAATAATAATTTTTAAATTATCAAGGGCTCATGAGGGAGGGGGGAGCAGGGAGCGAGGGGAAAAATGAGGACCTAATGGAGGGGGCTTAAGTGGAGAGAAAATGTTTTGAGAATGATGAGGGCAATGGATGTACAATTGTATTTTATACAATTGATGTATGTATTGCATGGATTGTGATGAGTTGTATGAGCCCCTAATAAAACAATTAAAAAATAGAGGAAAAAAAAGAAAATAATATTTTATAATTTATCAAGGGGTCACATGGGTGGTGGGGGGAGGGAAAAAAGAGGAATTGATACCAAGGGCTCAATCGAAAATAAATATCTAGCAAAGAATGATGGCAACATATGTACAAATATGCTTGATACAATTGATGTGTGGATTGTTATGAGTTGTAAGTGCCCCAATAAGATCATCTCTAGAAAAGAAAGACATAGTGTTTCTTAGTTCAGCAAAATGTCATGATCCCTTTCAACCTGAAACTACAGCCAGTGTTGCTCTTATTTTACTTTGTCTCTTGGATTTAGAAATAACCTTCATATTTTCTTTGTTTCATGCCAAACCCCACAATAGGGAATCAGGACAGATAAACCCCTCAGGACCAATAATGAGAGTAGCAATACCAGGAGGGGAAGGGAAAGGTGGGGGATTAAAAGGGAACTGATCACAAGATCTACATATAACCCCTTCCCAGGGGAACGGACAACAGAAAAGTGGGTGAAGGGAGACATAAGACCGTGTAAAATACGGTAAAATAATAATAATTCATAAATTATCAAGGGTTCATGAGGGAGGAGGGCGGTGAGGGAGGGTAGAAAATGAGGAGCTGATACCAAGGGCTCAAGTAGAAAGAAAGTGTTTTGAGAATGATGATGGCAACAAATGTACAAACGTGCCTGACACAATGGATGGATTGTGATAAGAGTTGTACGAGCCCCCAATAAAATAATTTTTAAAAGAAAAGAAAAAGAGGTGTAAGAGCCCCCCATAAATAAATAAATGTCATTAAAAAAAAAGCATTAAAGAAATGAGGATGTTACTTTGAGGACTAAGGTGTGTCTGACCCAGGTCATTGTATTTTCAGTTGCTTCCTATGCAAGTGAAAGTTGGACACTGGATGAGGAAGCCGGAAGAAGAGTCGCAGCATTTGCATTACGGTGCAGGCACAGAATACTGAAAGAACTGCCAAAAGAACAGACAGATTGCGCTTGAAAGCAGCACTGCTGGTATGCTCCTTAGAAGCAGGGATGGCAGCCTGTCTCATATACATTGGGCGTGTTCTTAGGAGAGACCAGCACCCTGGAGAAGGACATCATGCTTCGTACAGGAGTGGGGCAGCAAAGAAGAGCACGATTCTTGATGAGATGGATTGACAGGTGCCTGCAACAATGGGCTCAAGCATAGGAACAATTGTGAGCAATGTTAGATCAAAGAGAAGCATTTCCCCAAGGACAACGTTCTGAAGGATTGGGAAAGAAGAAGGAATAGAAGTAGAACGTAATAGGAAGTGGGATAAGAGATGGCGCATTGAAAGGTTAAGAAGAAGAAACAAGTAGAAAGTAATAGGAAGGAAGTGGGATAAGAGCCGCCATACTGAAAGGTTTGTGATGAATGATATGAAACAAAATGAATTATTGAGCTGATGGTTTGCCCTGGAAGCCTTCACTCAGTTTACAGTCCAAAGTTAAGAAAAAGAAGTTGGCTTTTCCCTAAATCTGTTGGCTTCAAAGAAATAATGCAACTTCTCAGAGCCAACCAGGGTGTACATTTTGACAAAAATGAAACCATGTCTTCCTATGGCGCCCTTTCATCTCGCTGGCCTCTCTACCAGCCTATAGCCCAAGGCAAAGGGTGAGGGTGTTATCAAAAGAGATGGGGGAACAAGTCTAAATCCACATTCTCAAAGCCACGCTAACTGCTTCATATGAGGCCAGACAGTTATCACCTGGAACATTGAATAGCAATATCACTGTAGCTAGCTTGCTTGTTACGTGACCACTACGTAGACACAGTGACAACACTTACTGGGTGGTAGAGACTTTTCCTTGGAACGCTTCTTTAGGAAATCCGTTGGAGAAGGCAGTTCAACTTTTGCTGGTCCCATAGTTTTCATTGCAGCTTTAACTTTTTGCACGTCATCTTTCACGGATGTCTTAAAAATGGACGTGTACCTAACATTTAAAAAAGCATAAAGTTTTAGCAATTATCTTCCTAGTACACAGGATTCCAGTTTAACAAAGAGTATAATTATTTGATTCTTGGTCATCAGCGTATGCAATCTCAATAGATGCTCTGCCCTGAGAAAGCACTATGAAGAAAGTTGTTCACAGTATTTTCTTAATTTAACATCTTTCTCTTCTCTTCTCTTCTCCCCTCCCTCCCTCCTTGCTTCCCTTTTTCTTAGCACATCAGTTTGGAGTTTATTAATTTTATTGATCTTATCAGAGCACCAGGTGTTCATTGATTTTCTCTAATGTTTACATTTCATTTCATTGATTTCTGCTCTGATGCATATTATTTCTTGTCCTTACTTTGGGTTTAATTTGCATTTCTTTTTTGTTTCATAAGATGCTTGCTGAGTTCATTGATTTAAAACTTTTATATTTTTCTGATTTACTTTAAAGCTAAAAAAATTCCTTCTAAGCTCTACTTTAGCTGACTTGCACCAATTTTCATATTCCATTATTTCAATTCAGCTCAAACCCTTTTACTTTCTTTCTATCTTCCTTAACTTAGAAGTCTATTTAGAAACATTGCTTAGTTTCCAAATATTTGAGGATTTACCAGGTGTTTTCATAATTTGTTTCTAAGTGATCTCTGTGGTGGTAAGAGGAAGGACTTAGTGTGATTTCAATCCATTTCAATTCTGATGCTTGGTTTATGGAACAAATTTAGCCTATTTTGGTAAATGTTCTGTATACACTTGAAAAGAAAATTTATTCTATACTGTTGGCCAATTGGTTGATAGTGTGTTTCTAGTGTTATATATATTGATTTTTCTTACTACTTGTTCTATTAATTATTGAAAGAGATTGTGGCCTTATTTATTTATTTTAGGTTTTGCTTCATATCTTTTGCACTTTTGTTTCTAGGTAAGTACCATTTAGGTTTATTATATCTTCTTGGAAAACTGACCCCTTTAGCATTATACAAAATATTATTATCCCTTTTTATATTCTGCACTCTAAAATCTATTCCATCAGATATCATTATGACAATTTTCACATTTTTGTTGATTTGTGGTTCCATGGTAGTATATTTTTTTCCATTATTAGACTTTTTACTGTATATTTTTAAAAGAAGTTCTCTTATATAAAGCACAGAATGTTGAACCATTCCAACAATCTCTCAGTCTCTTTCATTTGGTATATTTAGGCCATCATATTGAATATGAGTTTTAGTTTGTGTTTAAATTTGCCACTTTACTATTGTTTTCTACATAGTCTATTGTTCATCTTTCCTCTTTAATCTTGCCTTGATTTTCTTTTGACTTTATGGGCATTTTAAGGTTTACAGTACAAATATCTAATATCAATTTTGCCTTCCAGCAACACCTTCACCTATGGTATAAGAGTCTTACTAAACAACACTTTGATTTACCCCCTTCCACTTTTACCCTAGTGCTGTGCTATGTTTCCCTTCTACGTGTGTGGTCAAGGCCACAGAGCATTGTGATTCTTGTTGTTGATGTTCTTAGGTACTGTCAAGTCAGGTCCAATTTTGAGTAACCCTATGTACAACAGAGCACAATGCTACCCAGTCCTGCACCATCCTCACAATTGCTGCAATGTTTGAGCCCACTGCCTCAGCCTATTGACCCATCTTATGGAAGGCCCTCCGTTTAATATTGAGCCGCTAGTCTAACAAGCATGATGTCCTTTGCCAGTAATTGGAACGTGTCTAAAGTTTGCAAGATGAAGTCTTCCTAACCTCTCATCTAAGGACCACTCTGGTTGTATGTTTTCCAAGACAGATTGCTACTTCTTCGCTAACACTATAATTCAAAGGCATCAAATCTTCTTCAGTTTTTCTTATTCATTGACTGTCTTTCAGATGCATTTTAATCAATTGAAAATACAGTGGCTTGAGTAAGTAGTATTCTGAGTCTTCAAAGTGACACGTTATGCTTTTGAATAATTTAAAGAGCTGTTTTGCAGAGATTTGCCCAATACAATAACATCATTTGATTTCTTGACAGCTGCTTCCATGGACGTTGATTGTAACCCATACTGAAGGCTGCAACCCTTTATCTTCATCAAGGCCTCCTCACTTCCCACAAAATAGGACTCATCATCATCTGCATATCGCAGCTTGTTAATGAGCCTTCCTCCAATCCTGATGCCACAGTCTTCATATACTCCAGCCTCTCGGAGTATTTGCTCAGCATCCAGTGTGACGAAATAGGGTGTATATTTTTTCCTCTTCCATTTTCCCCCCTTTGGTTCTCATGCTCTACTTTGCCCATTTGAACACGCAGAAAGTATTTCAAAGAGCTGTTTTCCTCTTGTTAAATCGTCCCATCTGTCTTCTGAGTTTGTTTTTCATCAATGGATAGTCACTTGGTTGTACTTTGTACTTTGTTGCTTCTTTGTATGCCTTGTAAATGCTCCCACCTCTCTTTTATTTGAAAGCTTATGATTCAATTCTATATTACCTTTTGGTGAGCTGAATGTTTACTCATCTGTTATAGAAATCAGCAAGATAAACATTCTACTTATGAATGATAGCTGTAATTTTTTCCCAAATTAAGGACAAAAATAATACGTAAGTAAAAATCTTGGTTCCCTCAATTTCCGAAATTAACTTCCCAGAATAAGTTTGGCTTTTTAATGCATTGTTATTCCAGGTAGACTAGAGAAACAAATTCATAGACATTCATATGTGTATAAGAAAGAGCTTTATATACAAGAGCAATTGAATATTGAGAAAACATCCCAGCCCAGTCCAGATCAAGTCCATAAGTCCGATATTAGCCCATATGTCTGATACCAATGTATAAATTCCTTTTTAGACTCACAAAACACATGCAATGACTTAGAATGCAGGAAGATCACAGGCCAGTGGTGGGAAATCTTGTGGACCCAGTGGCATTGTAAGCATCTCAGTGGTGGCAGGGGTCTCCTCATGGCTTCTATAGCTCAGGGCACTATGGTAGTTCCAGGTGTCTTGTCAGTTGCAATGTCTCCCAGGGAGTGAGCAGAGAGAGAGTGTGTCTCCCACCTCCAAGAAGGAATACAGGAGCTCCCTCAATCCTCAGGAGAAGGCTGTGCCCACACAGGTCTCATTGGCTATGACCTGATTGACAGGCTAGACTCCACCCCTTCACTCTCAATCCTCTCAAATTAACGATTATATAACTACCACATGCATCTATTCACCTATGAGTTGTAAATTAATGTTCAAAATTTACACAGTGTGACATTTCCTTCGGATGGGTTCTCTCTAGAGAAGTAAAACAAGTGCATGGTGTACATATACATAGTTGTTAGATGCCACTGAGTTCGTTCCAATTCACAGCCACATTTGTTGGTATGTGGGAGCCATTGTTGCAGCCACCACAGAAAGCTGAGTTACATGAAGAAGAGTGCAGCATCAGGATCGGAGGTTGGCTGAACCACCTGTGATATGCAGATGACACAGCCTTGCTTGCTGAAAGTAAAGAGGAAATGAAGCACTTGCCAGGGAAGATTAAGGATCGTGGCCTTCAGTGTGGATCCCAATTCATTGTAAGGAAGACCAAAATCCTCATAAGTGGGTCAAGAGGTCCAATTTCATGATAAATGGAGAAAAGGTTCAAGTTCTCAAGGATTTTGTCTTACTCGGATCCACAATCCGTGCTCATGGAAGCAGCAGTGAAGAGATCAAAAAACATATTGCATTAGGTAAATTTGCTGCACAAGATCTCTTTAGAGTCTCGATCAGCAAGGACGTTACTTTGAGGACTAAGGTGTGCCTGACTCAAGCCATGGGATTCTCCACTGCATCATATGCATGTGAAAGTTGGACTTTGAATAAGGAAGACAGTGGAAGATGTATTTGAATTATGGCTCTGGGGGAGACTACTGAAAGTACCCTAGACCGATAAGAGGACAAACCAATCTGTATTGGAAGAAGGAAGGCTAGAATGCTCCTTAGAGGCAGTATGGCAAGACTGTCTCTTACATACTGGAGTAAGACAGCATGTTTGGTCAAATGGGGGGCGGTGAGAGAGAGGAAAGCCTTGGATGGGGCTCAAGCGCAGGAACAATCGTGAGAATGGCGCAGGAGTGTGCAGTGCTTTGTTCTGTTGTTCACGGGATGCTATGGGTCGGAGGCAACTCGATGGCCCTGATAACAACAACGTGGTTTCAGCCAGTGTCAGTTGATCTCCTTGAAGGTCTTCCCCCACCACCCTTTTTTTGACCTCCTACTTTACTTAGCATAGTGTTCTTTTTCATGGACTGATCTCTCCTGGTAACATGTCTAAAGTATGTAAGACTACGTCTTGCCATCCTCGCTTCCAAAGAACATTCTGGTTATACTTTTTTGTAAAAAATCATTTTACTGGGGGCTCTTATAGCTCTTATAACAATCCATACATCCATCGTGTCCAGCACATTTGTACATTATGTTGCCATCATCCTTTTCAAAACATTTTATTTCTATTTGAGTCCTTGGTATCAGTTCTTCATTTTTCCCTCCCTCCCCCACCCTCTCACCCTCACGAACCCTTGATAAATTATGTTATTATTATTTTTCTGGTTATACTTCTTCCAAGGATGATCTCATACGTTCAACATTCTTCACCAGCACCATAATTCAAGTGCACCAATTCGTCCTCAGTCTTCCTTACTCAGTATCCAACTCTCACGTGCATACACAGCAATTACAAACACCGTGGCTTGGGTCAAGCACGCCTTAGGCTTCAAAATGGCATGCTTGCTCTTCAATGTTTTCAAGCAGTGTCATGCAGCAGATTTACCCAGTGCAGTGTGCTCCGTGATTTCTTTACTGTTGTTCGCATGAGCAAATCTAAGCAAAATGAAATCCTCAACAATTTCAATCTTTTTGTTGTTTATCATGATGTTGTCTATTGTTCTAGATGTAAGAATTTTGGTTCTTTACAATGAATTGTCATTCATACTGAAGGCTGCAATTCTTGACCTTCATCATTAAGTCTTTCAAATCTTCC